TTATATAGTTATAGCTTATTAGCTACTGTGATAGCCCTTGAGAATATTTCCAGTAGCGTGGTTTGATCAGGTATCAGTTATGCTATCTCAGTATATTATTTACATCATTCTTTAGACTATGGCTTATAAATGTCATTTTGTCAGTTTTTATCATATAACTTTTAAAGATATAGTTCACTGTGTAGCTACTATAGTAACTTACACAGTAAAAGTATATATTTGAATTTCTCAAAGTTAATTATTCGACTCCATTAGAAAACTAAAAAGATACATGTTGTCAGTGCCTATTAATATGTGCATAATTTATACATGATTGTACAGTACTTTGCATAGATCCCTAAATAGCAGACCATTTATATGATTTTCATAATAAAAGTCTAGTGTAATTTTAATTGACACCAACTTCCAAATTTAATTAATTACTTTATAATTTAATTACAGAAAATAAACAATAATGCTTCATTCTGTATGAACAAATTATCTCTGTTGTACAGTACAACCAAACCATTAATTTTGAATACATTTTGTTAGACTGACATCAGGTTCATATTATTTTAATTATTACCGTGAGATACACTGATCTGTAATAAATTTATGGTATTACTTACGCACGTGTTGTCCTTGAATAAAATCATCATCAGTTATGCTTGTTTGCCGTTAGCCATGACTTACTGAAAAACGCCCCCTACTTCCTAATTCCATGCTTTGCGATTAGATGAATATTATTAAGTTTAAAGTGGATTCAATTTGTGCTAAAATCGATATCCATGGGGTTCTTTTGCATTCCAGGTGGTGTTTTATACTTCCTTGAAAATCTTTTTAGAGGTATTCTGTGCTTGCAATAGATTCATATTATTACGTTTGATTCAGTTTGTGCTAATATTTTGTTTACCATCGCTGTCCATGTGGTTCATTTGCATTCTAGGTGGTGTTCTACGTTTCTTTGAAATTCTTTTTAGAGGTATCTGTGCATTGAGAGTGGTTGGACTTAAACCATAGAATTTGGCTTATCCATTCAAAGGTTAAACATTTATGAAAAGGAATGGTGACCAAACGACCTTGATTTTCATATGTTGCATGCTTAGTCAATATTTTTTCATTTGACATTTGGTAGGTGCATGTAACTTTAATATAGTTAACAAGATCGTATAACCTTTGGTACACAATGTGTAAAAATATGGTTTTTTGAGGTAAAACCACTGGTTGGTTGGTTGGTAAATAACTTTAACATTATTTTTTTTTTCTTATACCTTCTTATCATTGATTTTTTTTTTAAATATTGATCTTCAAGGGAGCTTACAGTATAAGTAGATCAACATGAATTTATCTGTCAGTAGGTTGGATCTTACTTTATATTCTGCCTGCTTGATCTTATCACTGTCCCTGTAGATTTCGATCAAGATTCTGAAGAAGTTTAACTCTCGTCAAATTCGTTATAAACAAATCAAAAATCCATTAAACCAGATGTAGAGCTTTAACCACATTATCAAGTTGAATTTGCCAAAAGGTACGTGATTTATGGGCGTGATGATGTCATATCATACCCGTATATTGGCAAATGACAGGTATTTGTCACGTTAAATTTGATATATTGGATAGAGGTTCAATATCTGTCAGTGAAACGTAGTTGTGTAGCAGTTTAAAAATACGAATAAACTTTGTTTATCTTTCATAAAAAAACAAAAAAAAAAGCATCTTCAGTTGGCAAAAAATAGAACACTAAAACATTAAAATCCAAACAGATAAAATGTAAAAATTTAAATATTTGTTAAAAATATAAAAATCGAAAATCGAACAAAAAATTATTGTAAACAATATCAAAGCACAGAAAAATCCCCAAAATACCTGCTTTCACAAATCAATATAAACAAGTAGTACCATTATCATATCATTATGATCATTATCATTTAGTTTTCATTAATGTACTTTTTCACAGTATAAAGCAGTCATATTAACATCCAAGCATTAAAATGACTTGCATCATCACAAATAAAATACCAAGTGATTTCATGAAACATAATTTTGATCAACAATAATGATAAAATAATCATAAATACAATCCAAACATTAATATATTTATCATATTATTAGTTCCGCTCTGATTTGTTTTCCTTTCACACAGCACAATCTCAACATTCCAATCTACAATAACATTGACAATCACATAGCTCCTACACCAACTACCAGAGTGCTCAGGATTGAGCTTGTGCAGTTTATTGGAAGAAGAGGAGTTTAATATTTAAATATCTGAAAAGGCCTAGATTTTTAATAATATTAGAATTATAATGCTTTCCAACAGACATTTAAAAATATAAAAACCATGGTCATGTCATAGTTCATATTACAGAAAGAAATACTGTTGTAAAATCTACAGATACAGTAAATATAATGAATAATATAAATTAAACAATTTATTTTCAAAAGTAACATGGTGATATTTCCCATTGATACACCGCACATTTTGGTCAAGCGGGAACATTTTCCATTCCAACATTGTGGAGTCTTGTAATTGTAAAAAAAAAAATCTTAAGAAAATTGTTTTTATGTTGTTATTTTTGACTGATGATGTTTAAATCCTACCCAGAGGTCAATGGCAAAGTTGCACAAGCTAGACGTCTTGGAGACGTCAATTAGCTGGTCTCCGCTGACAAAATATTTTCAATAAATGCTCTCTGTAGACACATCAATTTATGCTGTGTTTTGAGTAAAAAATTTTAGGAATAATAATGGTCATTTTTCATGTCTACTAAAGCAAAAATAATTATGAAGGAATATCGTATCATGTATTTTATGGTGAAATGTTCAAAGTTCACCTCTGTAGTTTCACATTGTAATACTGTAGCTCAAAACGACAAGAATCATATATTCTGAAAATTTAGTGTACAATATTTTTACTCATTTTATGATAATTTGATGGTTTATGTAATAATTTGATTGTTTATGTTAATTCTGATAAAAATCTTTTATGATCGATAACTGCTTATTCAACATGAATTTAGAATTAGGACAAATAAATAAGTTGGTATTGTAGCTTAGTGCTTTAGATATGCTTGTCTTTTAATTCCAGAGTCCTTGGTTTTACCCTTTCAAAGTCAGGTGACAAGTAAATGTGATGTACCCATATTTGGGTGTAATACGACATCATCATGCCTGTTTATGGCCACATCACAAAAAGTTGTCACATAAAGTTGTTAGTGTGGGCAGACCTTTCACAGCTTTACAAAAGTGAGATTCAAATCTTGAAAGCATTGGATGAACTTTGACCAAGACGTAGTGCTCTTTTTGAATTGGATGCAATAATGTATTGTACACCAGCTGTTTCAAGAAAGACCCCTACTTAAACATCAACATTAGGAAAAAAAATGTTTAGACTGGACTGTAATCTAGCCCTCAATGCTAATCCTACTTCTGAATCAAAGATCTTATAATTACAAGATAGCGCTCTCAGTGATTTTACGCCAACAAATAGAAGTAGCGGTGTTCAGTAAAATGAAGCTTAAAAAATAATTACTTTTGAGAGAGGGTGCCCTAGTTTACCCTGGTTATAGAATTCGCATACAGATGCGCTATCTTTTTAGTTAAAGACTTTTGTGTAAGGGCACCCTACACTGCGTTATTGCAGAATTTGCACGCAGAAATGCTATCTTGTTATTATAAGATCTTTGTTCTGAATCTGAGCACGGTTGGCTCATTTTGTGAATAGGATAGTCCGGCATGATAATTGACCATTTGCCAGGACACCCTTCAATAATATGAAACAGCCCGCTGCCAGGCTATAATCAATTAGTAGTAAGTCCATAAGAGTAAGAGATTTTAATATATTGCATATACTAATAATATTTATAGTTCTGATAGGATAAATTTTACTACTACAAGTCTTCCTCTAATTAAAGACCCCTCCAATTAAAGACCACCTCCAGTTAAAACCACTTTTCTGTGGTCCCATATTAACAAATATTTTTTATCTTTATTACTCCAATTAAAGACAAAAGCTGCTAAAGACCATTGAAACCCCGGTCTGAAAATTGGTCTTTAATTAGACGGAGACATGTATTTAAGAATATAATGCTGCAGTGTATCTAGCTTTATATAGATTTCTTCATTAGAAAACTTCATTTTGAAGGGTTCTGCTCCAGTAATATTTGATACATGATCGAATGCATACATAATTAATATCAAGTAATATCAACTTTGTTTGAATCGCTTGAATCCTGTAGCTGACTTGTAGTAGTTGTTTTAGAATAATTTTTTTTTTTGCATCTTGCATTTTCCCAACCTTAATTACATACCAAAACACCTACAGTACTGTACCATAATTATTACACCCAACTCCACTTCCTAAGCATCCTAATGAGATTGAGCATGCCATACTGTCAAATAATATGCAACAAATGTGTCTGTTTAATGCCCATATAAGGGCATTGGTGACGTCATATTACACCCACATATAGGCATATCATATTTATTTGTCACATAAATCTGGTAGTGTCGACAGAATACCATTATTATTTTTAGGTTCTGTCCATCCAGTTATGTGTAATAATACTATGAATTTGCTCATTTATCTGTGATATGGCATCATCATGTCTATCACATAATGGTGTGATGTGATATCACCATTTTATATGTTCAAATTACACACAGTTTAATAGTGTTGATGAAGTTTTATCCATAATTTGCAAGATGTATTTATAATATTCATTTGTTTATTATCGATTTGACATAAAGCATGGAACAAATGTACAATTGATGCTTGTTGTTATTCTAGAACAACATATTTCAGATCTGCAAAATTGAGACAATACAATAGTACTTAAAACTACAGAGAATGATTCATTATAGTTTATTTTTTGCATACACTTTCTTTTGCATACTGTATAGTACAGCAAATAGATCTACGGTTTTGATTGAACAGAGATTTTATAATCATTTTTGTTACACAATCTTTGATGTTAATTATATATGTGTTGTCTTTGCTGTCTTGGTGTTTGTCTGTGTAGTGTCTTTGCAAGATATCTTGGCACATACTCCGTTCCAGAGTAAAGTGATCATGGATCAGGAGATGTTGAGTAAAGAGAAGCGGCCTACAGCTGTTCATTATACATACGCCAATAAGTGCGAGGAGCCGCCACGGCTTAGCATTCTCACCCCGTACAGGTAATGTATGGTTAAATCATATTGTTCTCTTGTTAAACCTATCGCCACTCAATTGGTAAAATCTTCAGAACAGGTAAAAATGTTTTTCGCCCATTTCTTTATTAATTGTTTTTACTATTAATATTTTACTATTTTTTACATGTGTTTTTTTGTTATTATATATTGTATTGTATTGTGTTGTATTTTATTTTTCAATAATTAATAATTATACATACATATTTCTTTCCAAATCCACTTAAAAGAAAAAGATAAGTGTGAAAATAATTATCAGTGTGAAAATAACTATCAGAACTAAATAATAATAATAATAATAATAATATTAATAATGTTAATAAATGATAAGTTTGAATATTAATTTAGCAGTCTTGTTGGGATTTAGTCATTTTGGACATGTATTTTATAAGCAATGATAAACAATTTATTTCCAGTAGGGTCCCTACTCTTCAAAAGGGTGCATCAGCGTTGTTTAAAATGAAAAATGGACCATTTCTACACGAGACCAGCGACTTAAACTAAAGGTGGTAGACTATAGTAAAATGTTGCAGCATGGTAGAAAATTAGAAAATGCAGGTTATAAATAAGTTAACATGAAAACACACCTAAACCATAAACTAACCGAAAGAAGGAAAAGCACTCCATTCAACAATATCTTAAGACCCCTCAAAATTGTTGGAACCTTGGTTCTAGGTCTTGTATTTTTTTTAAATGACATTAAAATGTTTTGCCAAAAGTATACCTCACAGAACACATTAATTTATTGAAAGAAATCTGTTATATGAGCCACCATGAGCCAGTCGATTCTACCAATGTATTTTAATACCTTTACCGTACTGTAGTATCTTGGGTATAAGCCCACCCCCTAACTTACCATTTTTACATATAAGCCTTTTCTCGGGCTAAAGCCCAGGGTATGATTAATTTCTACAAATACTCTAAACAAAACAAAAAATCAAATTCTGGCTTTGGAATTAGATATGCAGTTCTGAAGAATTGCCTTTTGATCGATGAGGTTTTTCCCCAGGTGCAGTATAAACCTCCTCCCCCCAAAAAACCAAAAAACTGTGAACTTTTGTTTTAAGGGGGTGGGGTATGCTATGAATTACGGGAATTATATTTTTTCTACTCGTATTTTTTATCCAAAACCTTTTTTATTAGTCTATAGAACCGTTGCTCAAATCTACCAACTTTACAGATCAGCATATACATCTTCATATACTAATAGATGGTGCAAGCATGCTTGTTTCACTGTCAATATATATATAAATTGTGAAGTTATATTAAAATTACTAGTCTCCAAAACACACGCCCTCAGGGGAGTCATTCACTGTAAATGTACATAGTCGATAGGGAGCACTTCATCTTAACACAATCAATGTTTCATCGATAAGTACGGCGTTGCTGTATACATCTGTTATATTCTTCAAAACAAAGGAACACTTTAAACCCAAGATGAAGGCCAGGAGAAATGCAGAGGAAGTGTATACAATTGAGCAACCTTCAGACTAATTTCTAAGAACAATTTTAGAAATATTTTTACTACTGATATGTACTGTACTATATTTTGTGATCCAGTTAGAATAAACTTTTAAAGAAAATATAATTAACGCCCTCAATCTTTGAATCAGTGAATTTCTTAGGTGCATTATACCTTTTTCTTAATGTGCCAATTAAAAAAAAGTCTTAATAATTGAGGATAAAGATCAAGTATTGTAATAATAATTGGTGTCCATTAAATGACAGGGTAAATTTTTAATTGATAATAACTTGCTCAAATATGCAGTCAGCTAGTTCAAATATGAAATTACATTTTTCAACTGTTTTACAGTTTAGCTTGACGGACATCTATAATTAACTTTGCTAATATCCTTGGTTTATGGTAAACACTACCAGTGTACAGATTTTTTCGGACATACCTAGTGATTTTAGGGACAGTTAAAATTACAAGAATTAACTTAGATTTGGTTCGGTTTACTAATGAATGTCTAGATATTCTAAGCTAATTCTTGATAAAACAGTGCAAAAACTTTAAAAAAATATATACCACCAATTATCCTATGATGCAAAATATTGTTTCTAAAATATCTCATCTCTTGACAAAAGAAAAACAACATACAATGTAAATCAAATTTAAAAAATATTATTCATCAAAATCTTGCAATCTGAAACGATCGGGTAAAAGTTTATTGACTCCTACTGTTGATATTAAACAAGCATTTTGTAGAGTAAGGATCGTAATTACTTTGAAAATTGAGATGCTGAATAATCAGAGGTAATTTCAAGATGATTTACCGGTATTGCTTCTATTGATCTCATTAACTCCATTGCATATACATTCAAGGCTGGACTCCAGGGGGCACTTTTGTATGGCTGTTACTGCTCTAAAAGTGGGGCACATATCTGATGATCTATCAGTTTTCAGTAATTATTCTTTTTCCATTGTTATTGGGTTTTTTCAAAGCAATTTTTCTGTCATAATGTTAACTGAAATAATAAATAAAATATATCTTATACGCACACCATATTTCCACCTGTCTCTTATACACATCTAGATGTGTATAAGAGACAGTATTATTATTGTGTAAGTATAAGCTTATGTATTTGTAGGTAAAACAGCATAACTAAAGCTTGAGTTGATGTCACAAATATTTAGGCAATTACGATTATTTGTCACATGTTCGTAGATAGATTTGCTAATAATAATATTTATTTGTCTCTCACAGGGAAGATGGCAGAGAAGGCTTAGAATTTTACACCAAACCAAGGTATTTCTTTGAATTATGGTGCGAAGAACAGAAAAAGAATATTTCATTACTGAAACAGGAACGTAGACACCGAAGAAAAGTTAGTAATTGCATTGCTATGATACATCACACTAATACACAAAAAATACAATTTTTAAAATTTAAACTTTAGATAAAATGACCTATTAAATTCATAAGGATTTGTTGCATATGAACACGAAATAAAAAGACAACAATTTTTTTATTTCTTACTTTAAATTTTTAGCAACGGCACCCAAGAGAGAAAGGAATAATATCTAATCAACCAAGGGCAGCAAGAACAAGAAAGGAACACTGGGAAGCAATGAAGCATGGAGCGGATTTACGGCAACATCAAACACGACAGAGTGATCACCATAACATGGCACCAGAGGAAGAATTCCACGAGGACACCCCAGTACCAAACCAAACTCAAATACGTGATGATAGACAGGCTTACTCTGGCAGCCCATATCAAGATGCAGGTGGACTTGGTAGGCAGGAAGCTCGACGATCTGCGCCAAACAGACCGATGGCTGCCCCACCACCACCACCACCGCAGACAATGAGTAATGGAGGACCACCGATGAACACCGGATACCAGAACGAGTACAATCTACAGCAGCATGTACCATCACCACCAGAGTATCCAGATGCGCCTCCTTACCAACCGCAAATGATCTCAGACCAAGGCTGCAGACTAGATTTAGGACATAATGATCAACAGGAAGAATGCCACCAGATTCCTGATGCTCCGCCACTCCCCGCGGCTGGCTATTCGTATCCAGAACCAACACCTATGCACAATCTTGGTCAGTCGTCATATATTCCAGCACCACCCCCACCACCAAATATTGGTTTTGTCCCTCCGCCACCTCCAGTACCACTTGGACCAGCAGCTCAAACAGGGATTTCCTCACCAGCCAAAGTGCCAGCACCGCCTGTTAAAGAGGAACCAGAAGACAATCCTAGAAGTGATCTACTGAGTGCTATCAGAACAGGTGCTGTATATCTCTGCACATCATTTTTTCTTTATCTTATTCATAATTTACTATTATTACAAGGTGCTATGTAAATGCAGTACATTATTATTATTTTTTGAACAACATTATTTCTTATTTTTCATCAAATACTCAATTCTGGTTTAAGTATTACTACAGTACTATTAAATTATATATAATATATTTAAGGTAAGCAGTAGAATTGGATAACCCCCTGATTCAAGGGGGCCCTGCTAGTCCAGGCATTCTAAATTTTTCACAGAAAAAGAAAAGAATTTGAGAAAAATTTTAAGTCTAACAGTGCCATTTTCTGCCATCTGGGTGCCATAATCATATTTTTTTTTACCCGAGCCCCAACCGTATAGACCCTCCATTTGTTAAAGTCACTCTCTGGACCCCCTCTATTTCAAATTCCTGGATCCGCCATTGAACTCTTAACAGTTATCATGGCTAATAAAGTTATAATTATATCACTTCTACCTATAGTAAATATTGAATCAAAATTGACACATTTTAATTTTATTTGTAGGTATCAAACTACGCGAAGTAGACCGTACCCAGGCCAAGAAACAGAACTCAGACAGCACACCAAATTCTGTAGCAGCCATTCTAGCTCGTCGTCTAGCAGTGGAGCTAAGCGATTCAGAAGATGACAGTAATACAAGCTCGGATTGGGAGGAAGATGATACTAGTTGGGACTAACAGCCTGTTCACACTGATACTAGAGAATATGATGGTATGGATTGGAATAAGATCCCATCTCTTGGAATTGAATAATAATGGCAGATAGGGCAAAGGGGAAGATGATAGGTCTTTAGGACTAACAGCCTGTTCACACTGATACTAGAAAAATTGATAGTATGGATTGGCTTAAAGCCTAATCTCTGATAAAAATAAGCTAAGGCCCTGTTCACACGTAAATACTGTAAGTAGTGTTCTGCACACCATATTTCCACTCCTCATATTCAGTACATTTCAAAAATTGTCTTCTTAGCGATCTTTAGATTTTTATAACAATTTGTAGAAATAAAAAAAAAATAATCATGGAAGATTAAATTAAAAAATATATTTTCGCCCTAAATAACAAAACATTTTTGATCTTTTCCACACTCAGAATCTGTATTCCATCCAACTAATTCGGTTAGAGTATTATATAGATAATTTATATATCTGAATAGCCTCACTGTACTGAATGTACCTTGTGTTTTGTAATGGTGGTAATATACAACAAGTGGTTTCTTCAATTTGTAAAAATTAAATTGTTTAAACTGGTGGCAGCATTTATATCTAATTATTGTTAATAGCTGTGTAGTAAGTAATTAAAAAAGAGACAGTTCCACGTATTCACTCGATATAAAGTGACTTGCTTGGCCACAGGAAACTTTTCATATTTTGTTCAGCGAACTTTATTTATGAAAGACCTTTAATAGAGAGTAAGGCAGGAAAAAAATATGATTATGAAGTTTTATTTCCTATTTTTACTAAAATAGCAAAAGCAACTAGACAGGAAAAAAATGAAAATAAAGTTCATTGATGAATTTTATGAAGTAAAAAATAATCGGGGACCTTTAAAGCGGGGATTTCACTGTGCCCAGCAGTTGCAAAATACGTGTGCAAGGGATTTTTTTAATGACAATCCGTTGGGACTGGCACGAGCAATCAGCAGACGGTGTTGCGTTGCGTAGCACTCGCAAGGGGTGGAGTTGGATTCGTCAGCCGACGGTCACATGACAGTTATACAACGCAGCAAGTGTCCCGGCTTTAAAGTCGTGTTCATGATTCAATTGCATTTTTGTTAAAGGATGCAATGTGGTGATGTAACAGTTCAGTTGAAAAACAAAGGTCTATATTATATACTTCATACATAGATTCTAGGCATCTGATTGGTTAAGCTGGGCAACAGATAGTGCTATTCCCCTCAAAAAGTACTATTCCCCTCAAAATTAGTACTTTTTTTAAACTGTCGCGATGTGCAAATTCTATAGGCCCAATATATTGCACCGCTGACAGTAAAGGGACTGCGACCTCTATGACGAGATTATCCCCTGAGCGCGTCACGGAAATATGGAGGCTGCTCTTTTCGAGATGAATTAAATATTAAATATAATATTAAATATGTCTTATCAATATTCGACAAATATATTGCAAGACGATGGGTGCTTAAATATGTCTTATCAATATTCGACAAATATATTGCAAGACGATGGGTGCTGTTGAAATTGAGGAAATAAGCAAAGAAGAGATAGACACTCTTTGATCGCCTAGGCCTAGCTAGTCGAGTAGGCCTAATAGTAGTAGAGTAGTAGGCCTAGTAGTAGGCCTCTAATGTAATAGGCTATAGGAAGTAAGTACTTTCTTAGGCCTCGTTGAATCTATGTATGAGGTATATAAAACAAATATTGACTGCTCTATATTCGGGGAACAGTGAAATCCATTGCCCCTCGGAGATGCGGAGACCGTAGCCTATCTACAGTCTCCACATACTTCAGGGCAATAGATTTCACCATTCCCCTCATGAACAGTCAATATTTGTATAATATACAATTTTTTTAACTGTTGGGATGCGTAATCAGGCCAAACTATTTTATTTTTGCGGAAGAAAGTATAATATACGGCTCGTCCAATCACAGGGATGAAGAGCTAAAGAGTGTTTACTCTTTCAGCAAACAACATAGGATGAATTCAGCTTGATGAACACATGGTAATAAATATCAAGTAAAATATTTTCTTCTTGTGAATACTTTTGTTTAATACCAAACAATACAGACTAAACATAATTTCCTTGTATATAGTTGAATTTGTCATTTGTAGGTGCTGTTCATGTTTCTTATACTCTGTAACTCACTAAAATAACAGGTAAACTAACAATACATATTTTGTGTTTTCACCTTGGAACACTATAGCAAAGATCTTCAGAAGATAAGTTATTTTGTTAATAGGTGGATGTATTTTTCTTTAATTATAATCATTAACAGTTTTGATTTTGAAATAGTTGATATAATTTACTTATTAATAAATTAACCCTATCTAGTAGAACCTTAGAGCAAAGTATATATTTTTAAGTTTAAATAATAATTTACTATTTTTGTTAATAAATATAATTTGTCTTGAAGTAAATTGTAATTGTTCCATATATAGTTTTTAAATTTTCCATATAATGAGGGCAGTATAACAATATTAAATTTGTATTCATAATTTATTAGGATGATTTTCTATCATGAATTTCTTTATGCTAAAAATCCTATTAAAATTATCGGTGGAATCGTAGATAATAAAAATTTACATCATATACAGTAGAGTTTCTTTTGTTGTTGATGATTTATATTAACTAGTGTGAAACCTCTTTAAAAATTCATAGAGGTTTCAAAATGTATGAACATTTTTATAAAGGTTTTGAGAAGATTTTGGATTTATTTTGCTCATTCATTTCCCAGTCATATATTTCTAATGTTGTACAATAGTGTAATATAGATATTTTGGCTTGTGTCATAGAAAAAAGTTATTGTACAGGCCATTTTTTTTCAAGGACCAATATGTGTTTGTATGGGAAAATGTTTTGAGGTACCTGTACAGTGTTGGGTTTGGTTTATTTGATTACAAGGTTGAACTTAAATCGAAAAGGAACTTATGTACATTTGTCTCTTGCAACACTGGAGTAAAAATCTTCTATTGAGTCTATACTTAATCCCACTGTGTGGCTAGCCAACTCCCAAGTGCAAAACTAGTAGTATGCCTACAGCTCTGTATGATTTTTTTGTGCCTATTTACCCTGGTAATGTTGAAATCCTTCAGAGGTTTCATCGATATATCCTCAATAGAAATACTAATAATGCAATATTGACATAGAGGTACAGCAATCATAATGCAGTTGTGATATTCATGCAGATATTAAAATTGATTTTGGGGTTTAATGATAACTAAAACTTTATTGTAGCCCAAGTTGTTTATAGTGTAATAAACATTAACAATAAAAGAGAAGTTTTTTTGTTGTATTAAAAAAAAAAAAAAATTAACTGAAAACATATACTGTATTAACTGAGGACAAATGTCTGGACAAGGTTGGCACTGATACTAGATAGCAGACTTTTCGTAAATAACATCCCAGCAGAGGTGGTGGGGACAAGGGGGCACCGGACTCTTGAGGGGGAGACACTGGGCCCCTTCTGGGGATCCCAGGATCCCCTGTCAGAGAAGAATCCAATTATTTTTTCGCGGAAACTGCTTTAAAAGAGAATGCTATTTGTGGGCATCTAGAGGTGATTTGGGGCTGAGTGAGTGTGGACCCCCTTTTAGAGATCTTAAAACTCTCGTTTGGGGGACTTAAACCTCTTGTTAGGGAATTTCTTGTTTGCTCATAGGTTGTATAGGTTAACGGTCTGTGTAATCAGAGATCCGTTGTCAGGATAATTTTAAGCAGGCATGGCAATTGAGAGACCTCAGAATAATATTTAGAACTTGTGATTTTTGCATTTTAACACCAGTTAAGCCAATACAGATTCAGATAAGTTTTTTCCCCTTTTGAATTTTTTGACATCGTTAGTTTGCTTTCCTCATCTGTCTTTTAAAAACCTGTGTCATTAATAAAGATGCGTAAAATTTGTAGGAAAAGACTAATTAAAAACAATAAAGTTGTATACTAATTCAAGTTCAATTTATATTATACAGTAATACTATTTTTTTTATAGAATCTGCAATGATTACATAAAAGTAATAATGAAAGTACTGTAGTTATTGGAAGGTTTAATGGAAGTTTAATGTAGATGACTTAAGATATATAATATATATAGATTGCCCAATTACATTGTATTTGTGTCCTTTTCTATAAGACAAAAATAAATAAAACATATAAAACATTATGATGTAATGCGGTGAACATTTCATATATATTAATAGCATTTCTGGTACAATAAAATTTAACAATCTATTACAGTATTTGTTTTGTATTTTGTTGTCTGAATTAATCTTGTATTCTTCTTCATCAATAATATTCAATACAGGTCTCCCTCTAATTATTAAAGACCACCTCCAATTGAAGATCAATTTCCTGTGGCCCCAAGTGAATTTTTATCCTTATAAAAATAAAGATAATTTTTCTAATTGAAGACCAAAGCTGACCATGAAAACCCTGGTCACTTTAGTGGTCTTTAATTGGAGGGAGACCTGTATATTTTACAGTACAGTACCTGTATATTTGTTTTACAGTACTGTTAGGTTCAGTTTTGGGGAGGATAAAGCAACTTCATGTGGCCCTGCCTGCAAATAACCTTAATACCTGTGTGAAACTAATGCTTCATACATGCATTTGTAAATCGATGATTTTCAATGCATACGCGAGAAGGAGGTTAAATTTTAAGTAATTTAAAATTAGAACCAATTTAACAGAGGTTTTTATTCTAATGAATCAGCAAAAAAAAAACTGATTTGAGCAATTAAAATGGGAAATTTAGGGTTTCCAGATTTTATGCGATTGATAATAAAGGTCTGTCCACACTGAGACTTTATGTGACACATTTGTTTGATGTGCCCATATATGGGCATGATGGTGTTAACAAATAAGGGAATATCTCATTTTTTTGACGCATAAAATTTGATAGTGTGGACAAAACTTTAATGCATTCCGTGTCATTAAACAACAAAATGAAACTTTGTTTATTTTTAATTCAATATACAAACATTTATTCTTTAATTGCATCTAAACCAAAAGAAATACATGACCATATTATTTTAGTACGTTTTTGCACATCAGTCAAGGATTACAATGCTCAAATTAATGTTTACATTGCTGTATTTGTTTTAAAATATAAATTTGGTATATAACTAAATTGATAACAGTATAATTATTTATTACCTCTACTATTAATAATTTTTGTATGAAATAAAGACCAAAAAAAATGTAAAACTTAACATCCCAAACTTCAATATTGGTCCACAACATGGTTAACTAGAATGAATGACTGCAGTTAACAAGAATGGTAGGCCTATTTGATTGGTATTTTTGGCAGCGAAGCACAAATTTGCTGTAGGTAAGAAAGCAGTGATTTTAACTGCTTCCTATTGCCAGCACCAGCGAAGCGAGGAGCCTAATATTGGAATGGAGCTAGAGGTAATACTGTACATGCCAAGTCAGTGGTGGTTCCAGGATTTGCCCAATGAAAGTGTAAGATGGCGGTGCTGGAGCCTGTCCAAAACCTCTTGGAAGGAGGTGGGGGGAGGGGATGCGGATCACTAGAAATTCTGACAAATTTGAGAATTTGTTAGAGGCTTAGCTATTTTCAATCTTATGATCTTTAAAAATTACAATTTTGTTTCTGTTAACTCCTGTCTGTAGTGGAGTCTCGATCTCCCATGGTGCCACCACTCTGCCAATTCATTGGTCATTTTGCACTTCAAATTATACTAAAACCCGTATTAAAATTTACGATAGCTCACTCATTACACACAAAAAGCCATAAACTATTTTCGTCAAAGGATAAGTGCTATGCCTTGGGCATATACATGCAAAGTTGGACTGCAGCACTATTCATAAAACATTACTAAAACTTTCCAAGACAAATATCAATTTTCTACTAAATGTAGCACCATATACAACTCTAGAATACCAACTAAGCAGTTGCAAATGTCAGGGTAGGTGGAATGAATACTGAGTTGTACACGAGTCCTAAACCTTCTTGCTATTTATAATCGCATAAGACTGACACTCAATACACAGCATACACAAGAAGGCAGCCTGATAAATGTAACAGCAGTTCTGTACATCATAAACAATTTTATTTAATTTTGTCTGGTTTGTATATAATATACTGTCATTACATAGAACTGGCCCTCTATATATCCAGGCTGCTGTCTGTGCAAGGACAGTGAAACTGTCAAAGTTTCAATTTCGCTAAAATATTGTAACTTAATTTACTTTGCAGCTATAGTAAATAATGAGGTTTCTTATAGTCAGACACTGCATTTAGCAAAATTATTTTCAATATCATTTTCATATACTTATGCATATTCTTGAAATCATTTTACATGTTTTAATGCATGTTTATAAAATAATTGTAATAATGTTATTGCTTATTTCTGAATTATAATACTGTAAAAAAACATTATGATGTTCCACAATACTAGATAGAATACTGTATTTGAGAACAAGGTTAAAATCAAACACATGGAATGCCCTACATTATGGAAGTTTGTACGTTTAAATACATACTACAGGTAGGCAATCAAATGGTTTAGGCCTATACAAATGATTCACCCATTAAACTGGGCCAGCAAGAAAAATTGTCTCACTTAAACACCAAATTTGGTGTTCCCACTCCACAAATACTGAAAATAAAATAATATAGATAAATCATTTTTAATGTGTTTATATAAGCCTAATCCATTATGAAAATATAAAATATCTTTTGTTATATAGATATATCAATACAATTATAATTTATATAATATCCCACTAATTATCTCAGAGAGTTTTCACTCTCTCCAGAATATAAAAATTTAAATTTTCTTTGTAAAAAAAATGTTGTGTGCCCGTATATATTCATGATATGTGATGTCATCATGACCATATTAAGACATGTCACATGTTCGTTTTTTTTTTCAATTAAAATTTGGCAGTGTGGAGAGTGCTTAAAGATTACTGGGCCAGTCATAAAACTGAGGTTCAAAAGATTCATACTCGTAGCTATACATGTGATTACGAACAAACTTGTATTTATCTTCAGGTTCGGGGTACAACGACGCAGCCTTAGTAGCATATGCATGCTCAGCAACATGCACGGCAATCTTCACGGACACCTCACGAACATCCTTCAGTGGTGGGTAGACTCGGCCTTCCTTGAGGTTGTCTTGTGTGACCAAGTCAGCAAGTGCCTGAAATATTAGATTTTGGTTTTATGTTATATTTTACAATAACATTTCAAATCTGTTTTTCTCAACAGTTTTTTTTTTTTTTCAGGTTTTGTGCAGGTTATGTATTAAGGTGATGCTTTGACTCCTATTTGGTTTTAATAATGTGACTGAAGATTTAATGTAAATGAGATTTATGTAAATTAGACATTGTTTGAAAGCCAGTTGGTGAACTTGAGTGTGAATTGCTGTTGTTCCGGAAAAAGCTTTTACTGGCCTACAAACACCAGAATTGAACAGGTAAGACTTTAACTTGGATTAATTTATTGATAAATGTAAATTGTGGAACAGCTTACTATAAATTCATTGATATGAGCAATATATACAGTGAAGAGACATCATATGAAGGTCACAGTGTGATAGTAAATTTAATATAATAGTTAGAAAATGCTTGGGAATATACAGTATACACTGTTGGTCATATGATTGTAAAAGTGAGTTGGTAGATTGGGAGACAGGATTAAGGTGAGGTCATTTAATCTACCTCTCTGAATATATTTCCAAGAATGTGTTGGATGGGCATCGCAAAATATTATGTATCAATTATAAACAAAATCCAAGATGAGCAAATTACCTTGGCAGCTTCTAAGAATATTTGATCACTGACATGGTGGATTTTGAAGAGGATAACACTGAGAGCGACACCAGGGAAGATATATGAATTGTTGCCCTGACCTGGATGCAGAAGTGACCCATCATCTAGGGCGTATGATGGGAAGGGGCTACCACTGGCAAACACACATTTACCCTGCAAAGAAAAATAGATACTTTAAACATTTGCAGAACCCTTCGAAAAATAGGGTCGCAGCATTTTGAACAACTTTAAAATGAACCACATATTGAGAAGTTTAAAACCAAGGGAAGAGGCTTTGAGGGCTGTCAGCTAAATTTATTAAACAACCCTCACCCCCACCAATCTAAAAAAGTTGTCTCTGCCCCTGATCCCACACTTGGTCCAATACTGTTCTCTTCATTATGACAATACCTGTTAAGTAACACATCTGCAGGTAGCCCTCCACTTTATAGATGGTTCCAAAATCCTTTCACTTCACGTCCCTCCTATTTATCAACCTTTATCTATGGTCTGGTCCACTTCCATCACAACATAAAATTGTTGTGTACTCACATTTGTTAATCTATATGCTTGCTCGGCTGTGCATTCTGCTTTACTGGTTGGATTACTAAGAGCGAAGATGATTGGACGTTCGTTAAAGGAAGCCATTGACTTTATAATGTCATCAGTGAACGCACCAGCTACAGCAGCTGCTCCTGAGAGGAAAGGAAGGATAATGTTAGATACAGCCTGGAGTAAAATCATGAAAACCATTAAATATTCAAAATTGAATTGCTTATTTCAGAGTACCAAATTTGTTACCAATTTCTAACTTGAAACACAAATGCAAGGCCAATCCAATTATGATTTATAGAAATAATTTAGAAATGGAATAAATTATGCATTATCTGTAAATGGGATATGCATTTGTAATTTGGCACATTTTTTTTTGCTCTAAATTTTTAATTGAAAGATTTTCTGAAGCCTCTCTTTGGTCAAACAAACCATAAACAGCCAACATAGCAATCTAATTATTAAAATGACACACATAACTAAGCAAATTCTGCGCAGCCTATTTTCTGAGCCTCTGAATTGTTCATATTCAAAGATTTCATTGTGTATTCTGTGTGTTCAATAGATAAAATTTTGACTTGTCTACATTAGAATGTGCACTATGGTCATGCATTTGAATGATCATTTGTATGGGACACTATAAAGTTACTGTACATTTACTTTGGATTCAAACCAAAATTTGGACTGCGTTTCCGATGTCCTGAACAAAACATCTCTCTTCTTTTATACTGATTTGTTTCTCTGATTGGTTGAATAGGCTTTTATATTAGCCAGTCTTAGTAACACCTACAGCATTAAATCCAAGTGTTAACAAGTGTACGATTTACACAAGGTACAGGTAGCCTTTGTCTTAAAGAAAATTTATCTTATGCGATCTCAGCTTTTATATTTAAATATGCAATGTAACTGAAATATTGAATTATATTCTTAAAGTTTTCTACAGACTGATAGTGATTTTTAAATAATATTACTAGTGCTAACTATTTTAATAGGAAACTAGAAATGGTTAACGTACCAATGATAGCTGTAGGCTTGATTTCATTAATGACATCTGCCAAAGCTTTGATGTGCTTGTGTTCATGAGCAAACACCGCCTTCTCATGGGTGATACCACCTGACGGCCGATCCTTGAATAATATAAAATAATTACATACTGTATATCAAGTGAAATTCTGGTGGTAGGAATTGAAAAAAAAAAATACATGAATTCACAAACACTATTAATGAAACACCCAAGTAAAATATATTTATATTTTTATTTGGATCATACTTAATACTAATATTAATGTTCAAATTACATAGCGTGACATGGTAGATTATACAAATTAAACAAATATACATAACTCTCTTTCTGCAATCTTCATTTTACAAAATCATAATTTTAAATGTGTGCATTTTATACACATACACGTTCACCAATAATGACGAAAACAATCCCAGAAATTCTATGCATCATTTTAAACAATCCTGGCAAAAACCATGATTCAATGGAAGATTAGGTATTAATAAATCATAAACATTGTGGATGGTAGCAATATAAATAGGGCCAAGATTTGAGAACAGACAACAAACTTATGAATATAAGTTGCTTTGAGAAATAGATTTTTTATATGGAAAGCCAACATTGTATTTAATCATGGAGGTTCTTTACATTACCTTACACACCAGGCCCCTGGAGTCCACTAGCCACATTTTCTTACGTGCCTCTTTCTCTGACAATCCCTGCTCAACCATTGCCATTACCAGCAGGTTAGCTATTCCAAGTGAGGCCTAAAAAGAGATAAAAATATTAATTTATGGGTTATATTTCTGTATTTTCTCATGATTATTTTAAATTCACTCACCAATCTGATCTCGGTGTTTGGTATCATCCAAATGCTAACTTGAAAATTAAACTATAAAACGAATCCTTACCTCTCCAGCTCCTTGGAATACAAAAGTGTTGTCCTTGAGGGCGGTATTCGTTATTCTCAAACTGGCTAGTACGCCAGCAACAGCCACCGATGCTGTCCCTGTATATGCAAAAATTGCATTTATTATTTACACAGCAATGGGCATTTAACTCCCACCATAGTTGCTCCACTAAGACATTTCAATTTGTGTGTAAAAATCATAAATATTTTTAATTAATATAAATTTACCTACTGTAGATGTTGAAAACTAATAATTGTTTCTCATTCGTACACTGGGAATTTTTTTTTTATGAGGTAATGAGTGGAGTTGAAAAGCTTGGTGGTTAAAGATGCTTGCTTTCTAATCTAATTAAGACAGTGATGTGTGTTATTGGCAATCCTTGGCACATGTGTGAGTTTACACATAAATATATAAATCAAATGTACCTTGTTAGCAGGAACATTTTATTTTTCAGCTCTATAGTTATTTTTATGATGTTTTATTGGTTAAGTTACTGCTACTGCATTGTTTTGGGTATTTAATCATTGGTTTCCATTTACCTTGTATATCATCATTAAATGTGCAATATGTATCTCTGTACTTCTCCAGGAATCTGAATGCATTCTGGTTTCCAAAGTCTTCAAATTGAATCAGACAATCTTGCCCATACCTTAAAAGGAATTTAATAGTCAGAAATACTGTTGAATTACAGTATATATAAAAAAAAAAAAATGAGGTACCCTGGCCTAATGCTACAATTTATGCATACACAGCATCTAACCCAACTAACCAGCAGATATCCAGAACCAGTGAGAAATATGAAACAATGAAGCTAACCTGCTAAAATATGACCAGCAAATATTGAAAATTCTTTTATTGTATTATTCTGTACTTGAATGCAGAATGAATACACAGTATAAGCAGGCACATACTGTTCAGCAAATTAGATGAAACTTTCCAAAATTTAAAAAATATTTTTTTGATACTTACGTTGAAACAACAGCTTGCATAAACTCATCGATGAACTCATCGTAGTTACTTGATCTGTCCCGTGGTTTTTTTAAACCTATGTAGAATTCATCTTTTAGAAGATCCTGGAAAAAATTAACAGTTTAAAAAGAGTTGGTAACTAATTAACTTCCTCATATGAAATGGCCACACATTTGGTATTGCACCTTTTTCAAGGAATACAAAGCACTATACATACAAATCAAAAACATTTTCAATAAAAAATAAAAAAAACAATAAAATACTATAACTTTGGCATAAGTAGAAAATAAAATTTATACCTGATTGTTAGTTCCAACATCGAGCACAACAGGTAAGCATTGGTTTGGTGGGACACCTGCAATTGCAGTATAAAGTGCTAATTTTCCAACCGGTATACCCATACCAAAGCTACCAAGGTCACCGAGACCTAGAATTCTTTCACCGTCGGTAACAACAATAGCCTGCAAAAAAAAAAATCACAAGTCTATTTTATCACAAATCTATTTTATTTTGACAATTTTTTTTTAAATTTCCTTCACATCACACAGCAAGTACATTTACCACTTACAGGATGGAACGATGCTTTATAAACCAAGTCTATTTATGAGGCTTAGGGAGTGGAGTTTGGTCGCGTTAAAAAGTCCAGCTGTGACTGGAATTGAACCCAGGACTCTGGGATTAGAAGGTAAGCATCTTAACAACTCCAAGTTGTTGCTTTACATTTTTTTATTGTTCTGTTTGTAAATGTTTTGAGTAATTTGAATAAAAATATAAAAATTATTGAGGAGCTATTCTGTCTGTTTATGATTGAGCCTAAATTCAGTCTCTGCAGGCTGTTCAAACATCGTTAGTTTCATGTTCAGTCATACAGTTATATGGCGCATAGATTCATTCATGTTTTGAATCGCAGTTAAAATAAACTTTAAAAAGATATTTTAGCAACAAATTATGTGTACTTTATTTTCTAATGTACATTATTATTTCAATTAGTTAATTATTTTGGGATATATTTTTATTAAATTGGAAATAATTTCAGCACTTGGTTGCTTGATTATAATATGGTCATTTTTTAACCAAATAAATATTATAAATAAATATATAAAAATAAATTCTACACAACCTTAACATCTTTCTCAGGCCATGAGGCTAGCATATCCGCTATATGACCTTTGTCCTGAATGGTTATGAAGAGGCCACGAGGACGGCGGAATATGAGACCGTACTTCTGGCACGCTAAGCCCACGGTGGGAGTGTACACGATCGGCATCATCTCATCCAGATTGTTACATAGCACACGGTAAAAGAGCTTCTCATTACGATCCTGTTTAAAAGTAAGTAAGTATACTTGATATATAGTTGATTAAAATTTTAAATATTGTAAAAGATTTAAATAGGCCACTATGGATATAGCTACATCCAGCACACATATAATGTTTGCCAATTTATCTTATGACAAGTTCTAAAATTCCAACTTCTGACAGTGACATAGGGGGCACATAGTAAGCTTACAGTTTTGATCATGTGCTACAATGGAAAAGTGCATTGTGTTATTCTTGAATTTTAGATCTCAATTTCAGACATGATGCTGTTCCAACACTAGTGAACCATATCAGAACATCAGTAATAATAGCAACAAAAAAAAACAAGAACAGCACTGTAACAACAACTACAACAACAAAAATAATAATCTTACCTGCACATCCATGAGCTGAATATAGCGATCTAAATCGGTCGGCTGTCGACTGAAGTTTTGCAAGATTCGGCTCTCTTGCATCTCCGGAGTGGATACAGCGGGAGGGAGAAGGCCATGAAGCCCAAGAGCCTGACGTTCCCTGATGGTGAATGCTGTACCCTTTAAAAGATATAAAGTAATGCTCATTATGAAATTAAATCTAATTCAATCTTTTTTTACATATTTTTACTAAAGGAGATACAGGTACTGTAAAGTAGCCTCCTTGTTCATACATGGTATTGTTGGGCAGCTTTTTGCATTATATTTTATAGTAACAATTTACAAATATTGTTGTTTTTTTTAATTTATATAAAAATGAGTGAAAAAAGAATAAACCTATTTTTTTAATGCCAGTCTTTGTCTAAAGCTACATTGACATCAAGCCCGAAAAAAAAATTGTTAGTTGGTACGTTTTTTGAACGCTGCATTCACATTGCGCACAGAACACGGTTGTTTGGGTTAAGTACGTATGCCTTCGATTGGTTCGAACCAACCAAGCCTGTTGTTGATTGGTCCAAGGGAAAAAACGTACAATTTCACGATCCATCGGTCAGGATTCCGGATTGGAAATCGTGCGAATTTGATGTGAACGGTCCTATTCTTTACCACTGAACCCATGTTTTACAATTTTTTGTCCGGGCACTGGACCGGATCCGGGCTTTGATGTGAATGTAGCTTAATCCTGAAAAAAAGTTATGAGGATCACTTGTGTACTCCTAGTCCTATATAAGTGGTAACTGATTGATTATACTGTCTGTTATTCAGATTACAAATTCATGCAATTTCAAATATAAAAATATGATAATTGTTTTATTTTTCTTATAATAAATGCTAGAAATTAAAAAAAATGTCAGTATATTATAGTTTACTGTTTTTCTTGTGAATAGAAATAACGAAAATGTGATTTTCATAAATAAGTTGATCTATCATATTATAGATAAAAATCTGTACTAAGGTGCAATGCTTTTAGTAAATGTATCGGATTAATGATCAATATCCTGGCAATAAATTGTAGGTTACATTAAAGAGAGTCCAAACTGTCTGAAGTAAATCTGAGCCACCGGAATAAACCTCAATTAAAAACATTAAATTGCCCTTCTTTAATGGATCACATACAGTACAGTATCTATTAGTTTCAAGTGACAGACATCAACTTTGTTTTTCAGATTTTTTTTTTTTTACTCTACTTAAGCTACGTTCACATCAGGCCCGGATCCGGTCCGGAGCCCAGACAAAAAATTGTGAGTTGCTACGTTTTTTGAACGCTGCGTTCACATCGCGCACGGAACACGGTTGTTCGCCTCAAGTATGTATGCGTTAGATTGGTTCGAACCAACCAAGCTTGTTGCTGATTGGTCCAGGAAAAAAAAATGTATGATTTCAGGATACAAATGGCTCTCAGATCTATCAGTCCAGATCCGGAGTCCGGATTGGAAATCGTACGAATTTGATGTGAACAGTCCTATTATTTACTACTGAACCCATTTTTCACGATTTTTTCTTCGGACTCCGGACCAGAATCCGGGCTTGATATGAACGTAGCTTTAACAATGTATGTGCACGACAGGGTACTTCTATCTCAATTCAGTTTTGAGCCAAACAAATAAACAAGTCAGTAATTCAAATTTTCTGTACTTTACCTACATCAATGAACCAAAGCAAATATCATTATACAATATGTGTAGCTTGTTTGTACGTGTGTGTATATTACATATTACGTTTTTTTAGTATTGAGATGAATGTGGGGACCCTATCACCCTTGGTAGCCCTACCATGGTTGGGCTGAGGTGTATTTTTTTTTTTGACAGAAAAAATATTTATTCCATAACAACATGAAATTCAAATTTAGAGCTATCGGCAGAATTTGAATTAGACTACAAAGTACAAGATGACATATGAGACTCCGTATTGATTAATATTTACCAATTAAGTATTTCATATCTGAATAGGATGTAGATTGAAACCCTGGTCCATTTCATCCTCAATTTCACTTTCAATTAATTGCCTATGGCATCTATCATTACCATGACTCATAACATTAACAACTTACTCTAGATGTCTTATTGGGATGTACAATATCCACAAGTACCTGTATTTAACATTACTGACAGTTTAGTTCATTAGTAAAAACCTGAATAAGTCTTGATATTGCTAATCTGCAAGATTTTGGCTTGCTTGCACAAGTGTTAACGACAGTGCTGATTTCAAAACTAGTCTCAATTTTTGTTGATTTTCATTTTGAATACATACAAATATCATCACGAAAGTAAAATATAGTCAATAATAGACCATTTGATACCAACAAGGTACAGTAGTACTAATTAAGTATTAATTTATTAATTATTCCAAAATTTTTATATAATTGTTTTATTTTATATAGTTAAATGAGACTGCATGACTGTATGACAGCCTTATTGTCTTAGTAGCTGCAGATCCAAGAACTTGAATTAGAGAAGGCCCGCGAAGGGACTTTCAGAAATGGAGGGTCTACACCACGTCAGCCCCACCATAATAGACCTTTCCGGAGTGTCAATCAAACTTAACAACTGACCAATCAGAACAATGCTAGGAATACGGACGCATCTCACAAACACACGTGTTGTCCCACAAATGCACATGTTTGTTTATGTTTTAACACTGTCGTCTTGTGGGACGTTAGCAACAATATCCAATGGGCGGGGCTTAGCGAAAAGGTCCATTGGGGCTGAGGTAAGAAAATTTATGATTATGGCACCCCAGAAATGGTACTCTCAGACTTAAATTTAAATATAATTTTCTTTTTTTTCTCTATTTTTTTTATAATTTTGAAAAATTGATGGGGCCCCAGGCCAGCTTCATCCCACCTAACATTGTTTCAGAGCTCATTAAGTATTACTTAATAATTTTAGTGTGGTTTTACAGGAAATATTCAGTCAGGCCGGAAGAACACATAGACTATGCAGCTAGTTAAGAGGAGCCTGCTTACTGCATGAAAAAAAAAAACAAATTTAAGTTATCAATTGATAACTAATAAGTTACTATACCAAAAAAAGCAATTTAGATATTGCATAATTGTTAAAGTTTATTTGCTCAACCTGGGAGGTGTACTGGTTCAAACATACAGTTTATCTTTAATCAGCTAATGGCCCAGATATAACAGTAAACATTATCACCAAGTACTTATGCAAACATTCACAGACATTCATGACCGACAGTGTTAAGGCACTGATTTGCATAAAATCAAGGAGGACAATGAAAGTCTGTGCCACACAACTTAGAAGGATGCAATACTGTCTGCCAACCCCCCCCCCTCCCCCAAAAAACTGTTCTATACACCATTTTTAATTCTTTTAATCACAGACAAATACTGAAAGTCAAGATGTTGTTTATTATTTATTTTACATATTATTAAACACATTATTAAAGATATAAAATTAATATATAAATAAATTATGTATTAATTTTAATTTTAATAAATAAAAATATAATCCTTATAATTTATAAATAATACATAGATAAATAACAACCCACCTACTGTAGTATATACTATATACACACACAGTCCTATATTATATTTTATTACATTACATTTTTGCATACTGTATTTCATTCAGAATTTTGTTTGAAAGTAAAAAATATGCTGGTTTTCAATGCTTGGTATTAATTAAATATAAAAAGTGCATGTACTGGTTGGTGGGTAAGGCCAATACCAGCAAACTAATTCTTTTAATCTACAGCCTTACAGAAAGCTCCCTAAACATATTGAAATGTTTAATCAAATAATACTGTTTGCATGTCAGAATGGAGTGTATTAACAATAGAGTGAGGTAGTCACTTAAGTATTTGTATTTAAGTAATTCCCACTGTAGAAGAATTTGCTCTAATGATTTAATGATTTAAAAGAAATAAGTACAATTAATCAATTTGCTACCACCCACAAATCAAAAACAAATCTAAAAAATTTAAAACAAATTAATACAAAGGTGTAGCCTAAAGTACTCATTAGAGCCTTCCATAAAAGTTTTTATTAAATCCTAAATGCTGCAAGAAATTAAGAAATTATTTTTTGTTTTCATGTATGAACTACAGTAATTTACAAACTCTGCGGCTGGCCATATGGTTTAAAAATAAATTTACTTTATTAGACAATGATGATGCCATGTTGAAAGTTGACGTCGTCTCAAAAGTTTGAACCAATCAACCAACCTTATTAATACGCTGATCTTTCAGTAACGCCGACCCAAAATGTCGAAGTTGTAAACGTGGTGTATCACTTTTCCTTGACATTATTTCAGAATCTAACGATAACTTATTAATTATTCTAAATCTGCACCAATTCTTCTTGTCGACACGCACTCGTTCGTCAGCAGATAGCACTTGCTCCTGTGTGTGTTTCGTTTTCTCTCGAATCACTTGCCTAGGCCTATTATATGTATTTCACGAACGGTTCTGAGATTTCACAACTTCAGTTGTCTCCAAAATCACACCACCGCAATAAAGCACTGTTACCAACAATACTCACTGGTCATAGACAATAAATGATATCCTTCCTGGATGGTAATTATTTATACAATAATTGTAAAATGCCGGTTGCTCTACGAAGCGTTCTTTCTCGAGGTGTTCCCCAACAACCGCACGTAAGTACACACGACCCTTGACCTCTTGGCGAACGTCAAATCACTGAAGCATGACGCTATTTTCCCAGTTTTTGGGCCTTTAATTACATTTCCATAATTTGTATACCACCAGTCAACAAATTGATATTAATTAATAGCAATACTGAAATATCAAAGTGACATTAGATCTAATAATTCATCCTGTAAGTGGTGAGTATTGAATGTAAAGAAAATTAAAAATAACCTTGTATTGCACATGAGTAGGCCTAATTATTTATCAAATATGGATGATGATAATAATGATAAGAATTATGATGGCCATGATCACGACGATGGCGACACCGATAACGACGAATCTTAGTAATTGGCAGCAGCGGCGGCGTCGTTGGCGGTGCTGGTGGTCCGGATGGCGGTCGGTGTTCAAAACCATGACCATTTGATGGTTTTCGAGATCATTTAATTATCTATTATATTATTATCATTGTTGTTATTTCTATGACAATGATGATGCTGACACGGTGGTGGTGATGATAATGACAACGACGATAACAATAATCATGAATGATGACTGATTATAATAGGCCTAATCATAATTATAGAAGATAGATGATGTTAGATTAATACTGTGTGACGGCACTGTCGTAGATGACCATAACAAATAATGTGTCTTACCTTATTTACTCTTCCATCAAGCATCAAGCGCAAACCTGTGTAAGCTTTCGTTATTTTATGGAATGCATTCGATGAAAATTTATGCAGCCTGTTAGCCATCGTTGCAAACTTGTACCGGTAACAACTCGGATGATTCCCTCAGTCACTGAAGACAGAACTAAATATTATAATACCATATTGACAGGAATATCGTCATAAAAATGAGGAAGAGATGGATGCTATAAAAGAGCCTTCCTGCCGAGTGTGTTAAAATAAGAGTATAGATACAGTAGCTATTGGCTACTGTAGGATTCGTATTTTTGCATGCTGCAGTGTGTCTCAGCCTAAGACAGTATGTTCTAATATTAATAATTAATGCTATAGGTGAGATATTGGTTAACGTGCCGATCATTCCTTTCCATAGATGAGTCGCAAGTCGATGTTGTTCATTTATTGATCATACTGAAAATCAGCCTAATCCTTGACAATACACCGTTACATAGGACTTCTGCTTACAATGTGATCATCATATACATAGGCCCTATGTGTTACGCTATAGGCACACATGCCAATTCAATATGACAATGTGATGATGCAAAAGCTATGAATTTTCATTATTAGAATAATTCTAATTAATAAAAAGAGTATACACATAATTAAGTGTCAGGCACTGGTGTTACATTGGTCATTGGTAGAGCTACCGTATTCCTACAAATAACGGGCCATACTTAATAATAATAGTAGAATAGTACAGTAGCCTAGTATAGAATAGGCCTAACACGTATACTGTAGCCTACACTAACAATAATAATAGGACTAGGCCTCTAAATTCATATGAATTATTACCGTAACATAGGCCTTAGTATTTTGACTTACCATTTTCCTATAAGGTTCTTTCATCGACTAATGTTGTAGAATAGCCTAATTTTAATATAGTAACTAAACTGTCGCAATTTCCCGCATTCACGTTTTGCGAAATTTTACATATTCGAAAGATTCGTGGGTTTGTAGCAACATTTTGCGCAATTCCAACAGTATTTGTATTGCGTAATAATACGCGCATTACAATGAACGGAAAGCGGAAGGCTAGAACACATTCAAGAAGATAAGCACATTGAGAAATTCCGCCTTTCAATCCGATTTAAGTCTATCTTAATTCATTTAATCACGAAACAGTAAAATAGATAATAAAATACTATGCAAGTTAAAAATTAGTGATAAAATTGGAGTACAGTGTCAACGATAGTGGTAACAATAATAGCATGAGAAGGGGGTGCTATCTGACGGTGAGCCTCCACCACAAGTTGTATACTACAGATTCCCCCTCCCGCGACGCATATTTTTGATCATTGAAGTAATGATTGTGATCATTATACTTTTGTGTCTAATTCCGTAATTCACGAATCATAATACAGATATTGAATATTTAAAGAAAATTGGGGTAGCCACCCAGTTTTTAAATATTCAAAAATCTGTATCTCATTAACCGCTTCCGAGTTTTTCGTCAAATAAATATGCTTTTTCTATCTTAAAAAAATCGGTTTCTATATATATGTATATATGTATGTATATGTATGTATGTATATGTGTGTATATGTATTGTATGTGCGTATATGTGTATGTATGTATGTGTGTATGTGTATGCCTATATTATGTATGTGTGTGTATATATATATATAAATATATGTATATGTATATCTATATGTACTGTCTCTTATACACATCTAGATGTGTATAAGAGACAGATATATATATATATATATATATATATATATATATATATATATATATATATATATATATATATATATGTTTATATGTATATGTGTCTATGTATATGTGTATAGTATATTTTTTAATTTTGAAATTTCTTCTGAAACAAATATAGCGCCCCCTAAATCCAATCAGCAAAGAAGCAGACGTAAAACGAGTTCATAGGCAAAACTCATTAAATAGTAAGACGTCATTCATCGTATTCGGAGAAATATTTCATGAAACGGCTAATATATTTTCCATCTTCCATAAGCTGTCTCGAGGCTTACACGTATTCCTCAGTTATTTCAAGCCATTGTCCATCTTTTCGTCTTTAAATCATACGCGTCACTGTAATTTATTACGAACCAACCATCTTCAACCCTTTGGCCGGCTGTTCTTTAATATCATTAAGTATATTCCGCGTTCTGTACTGTATTGATTTTATTTGCTCCGGTTTGTTTGATCTCACAGGTAATTCATGCAGGTATGTATTAAGATATTCGTACTATCAGATTCAAAGATGCTTAATTTATAATTTAGAAATCTGTTATTCTATTGATATATAATTCTTACGATTTTTGAAATGGATGTATTGGCTGGCATATTGGATATTCATTAATGAATTACGTCATGTTGATATCATTAAAGTAGATCGCATAACAAATTAGGCGAGGTTGATATTACATGTGTGAGTACTGTAGTAGCAAAAGTGGATTTAAACGTTACGGGGCTCAGACTTGTTTAGTTT